TATAAATGAACCCCACACCGGGCAGCAGGAGGAGGGCATGGTCTGCCCACGGCCACTGCCCCTCGACATCCCCCCACCACAGGGCTTTGAGGACAGAATGCAAGAGGACTCAGGTGACTCCCACCTTGAATGATCTGTCTTGGAGTCCGGCCACTCCTGACAGTCTCAGGCCTCTGCCCATGAGGCTGACTTGGGCAGGGATCCGGGAGCTGTGCTCTTTGCCCCCGGTCTCTCTGGGCCCAGCCCTTGCTCCGTCAGAGCTGTCTCTGCTGTCTGGCCTGTATACGCAGCAGCCCCAAGGGCTGGGGAAAACACTCCCAACGGCTGGAGGTGACAAACACCTTCCACGTACCACCCGGAGGCCCTCAGGCACTCACAACGCCCCTCGAGACAGAAGGCAATACTGCCTCACCATTTACAGACAAGAAGTGAAGACGCAGCGGTGGGAGGTTCTTGCCAAGCCCACACTGCTGGCGCGCCGGGTCTGAACCAAAGCCACCCGCTCCAGAGTTCATGCTTTCCCTCCAGCCTCTCTGTGGCCAGGGCTAGGTGGTTTTGTGTCTCTGGGCCTCCTCCATGTTCCCCATCTGTAAGCCCGGCTGCATCGGGGGTGGGGAGAACACAGCCCGACTGACTCAGCACACCGCTTCCCTTTGTCCTCCGAACAGGAAAACCCAAGGTAGGCGTGGAGTCTGCCCACCCTCTCTATCCTCTGGGCTCCCCAAAGGGCCAGGCTCCCTGCCAGCTCCCCCCCCCCACCATTTGCCAGAGGGCCCCAGTTCCTGCACTGGGCCGCCTACCTGTCTCGCCTCGTACCTGCCCCCTCCACCCAGGATGCCCCAACACTAGAGCCAGGTAATGGGAGGGGGACAGAGTCCTCACCCCTTGGAGCCCCATGCTGGACCCCAGGCCCTGCACTATGAAAAGTGTGCATGAGAACAAACATATGAAGAAATGCTCACGATCATGAGCTATTGTTGTTGTTGTTGTTTTTATGTGCCGTCGAGCCGGCCCCGACTCATAGTGACCCCTCCTTGGGTTTCCGAGGCAGTATCTCTACGGAAGTAGGATTGCCCAACCTTCCTTCCCAGGATTAGAGAGATGCAAATCAAAACAACAATGAGATACCATCTTGTTCCAGCACTAGTAGCAAAGTTCAACAAGGCAGAAAATAACAAATGCTGGCGAGGTTGTGGAGAGATTGGGACTCTCACACAGTGCTGGTGGGACTGTAAAATGTACAACCATTGTGGAAAGCAGTATGGTGATTCCTTCAAAAGTTGGAACTAGAAACACCATGTGACCCAGCCATTCCATTACTAGGTATATATCCTAAAGAAGTGAGAGCCATGACAAGAACAGATATATGCACTTCCATGTTCATCGCAGCACTATTTGCAATAGCCAAAAGATGGAAACAACCTACGTGTCCATCAACTCAGGAATGGATAACCAAACTATGGTACATGCACACAATGGAATACTATGCAACGGTAGAGAATAATGTAGAATCCGCAAAACACCGCGTAACATGGATGAACTTGGAGGACATTATGCTGAGTGAAATAAGTCAATCACAAAAGGATAAACATTGTATTAGTCCGTTGTTGTAAAAGTTAAGGAAAGGTTTATCTACTGAAGGAAATTTTCTTTTTTGGTTACCAGGGGTGGGAGGGAAGGGTAGGGAACACTGTTAGATAGATAGAGATAAGTATTGATTTGGGTGAAGAGAAGGGCCATGTACCAAATGTGAGTGACCAATATGGCAGCACTGAGGATGAGAAAGACATAGAGAGGTCCATGGGAGGTACAGACAACAAACATGAACCTTT